TGTCCAACAAACTAAAATTATAGTTTCATCAGTCCACAGCACCTTATTCCAAAATGAAGCTGGCTTGTCCAAATGTGCTTTAGCATACCTCAAGCGACTCTTTTTGTGGCATGGGCGCAGAAAAGGCTTCTGCCGCATTACTCTCCCATACAGCATGTCCTTGTGCGCTGAATAGTTGAACGATGCACAGTGACACCATCTGCAGCAAGATCATGTTGTAGGTCTTTGGAGCTGGTCTGTGGGTTGAGTTTTACTGTTCTCACCATCCTTCGCCTCTGCTTATCTGAGATTTTTCTTGGCCTGCCTCTATGGGCCTTAACTAGAACTGTGCCTGTGGTCTTCCATTTCCTCACTATGTTCCTCACAGTGGAAACTGACAGCTGAAATCTCTGAGCTAGCTTTTTGTATCCTTCCCCTAAACCATGATGTTGAACAATCTTTGTTTTCAGGTCATTTGACAGTTGTTTTGATGCTCCCATGTTGCCAGTCTTCAGAGAAGATGCAAAGGGGAGAACAACTTGCAACTGGCCACCTTAAATACCCTTTCTCATGATTGGCTTCACCTGTGTATGTAGGTCAAGGGTCAATGAGCTTACCAAACAATTTTTGTCTTTCAATAATTAGTGCTAAAGGTATTCAAATCAATAAAACAACAGGGTGCCCAAATGTATGCACCTGCCTACTTTTGTTTAAGTAATTATTGCACACTTTCTGTAAATCCTATAAACTTCATTTCACTTTTTAAATATCACTGTGTTTGTTTGCTGTATGATATATTTAATTGAAATTGCTGTATCACAACCAATGATACATAAAGGAAAATCTTGAAAATGATCAGGGGTGCCCAAACTTTTTCATGCCACTGTAAATTCTTAGTATTTACTATGGAGATGTAACATTCAAAGCATATATGTGCTCATAAAGTGCCTTCCAAACTCAATAAAATCTCAGAGAGATTGCCAAAGATCACAGGAGTAAAGTACTACTTCAAAATGCGGAGAACATGGTTCCCTTTACAACACGTTTACTGTAGATTAATCTTTCAACAAACAACAGTTCAAAGTATTCCTGGGTGAAAAGCCAATAACAGGTCACAAGATATTACTGCACCATTGACTAGTTGGATTCAATTTGGCAACATGATGCCCAAAATTGTCTTCACCAATGTATTGTCATTTGCAAACAAAATGAATGAACTACAGCAGGATTAAGCTTTTAAAAGCAGACAGTCCTGATGCCATGCAATGTCATGTTGATAGAATGATCATGGCTTAGCAGCAGTGTCTTGCTATTTCCAAAATTAAACCACAACAGAGAAATAAATTAAGATTTTTTGTTAAATATGTCCAATTGCACCTTCATATAGTTGCAAATTTGTGTTAGTATGTTCGTACCTTGGTCAGTAAGTATTACTTGTTGCCTTATAGATATCAAAAAGTCACAGAAATAGACAGACACGTACACTTCAGGTGAGGAAACGCAGAGGAGCGAGTAGGTGCCAACCCAAAGCTCAGTGGCTAACATTTTACCTAAAATCAGCTTTGTATGTACATTTTGAAATCTGAATTGTATATTGTCACCATTTGTAGCTGGATTGGACATGTACTGGTGGCATTGATTCTTCATGCTGATTATACACATTGCATGAAAAATAAAGTTATCTCCACAATTGTACTTTATACAAACCACTGCTTCCCTTAAATGTACATGTAAATTAAGCAATTTCTTTTCTCAGGAGAAGCAGAAAATACAGTTTGTTTTAGGTAAGGGTCAACTGTTCTTTAGTACACTAAAAAAATGCATTTGTTTAATTTAGTGCTAAAGCTGAATGCTAGACGTTTTAAAAAAATGTGCTTCACTGACAATACAATAACAATAAAATACTAACCATCCTACAAAAAGCAAATTGGTTTGGAAAAATTGGTTTGCTGTGCCACTGAATCACTGCATCATTTTGGGTTGTTTGTACATGTCATGGTGTTAGGTTTATTCTAACATATGTGACGACAAAGTAACAACACAAAAGACGTCTGGATCTTTTTCTTGCAAGGGGAGAATGCAGCTTGCTCTTCTGGCAGCTTCCTCATCACTCCGAGTTGCTGCACCCTTCCTCTGCTCTTTTATTAAGGTGTGAGGAAGGTAAGTCAGCTCTAATTTCCCTGGTGGAAATCACTTTCATAAGTAGGTCCTTGTCGACCCTGATTAGTAACATTATGGAAACAAGAAAGCTATGAATTGCTCCATGACATAATTAATCTGAAACATCTGTTTGCAGGAACCACATTCAACGCATGTGTGTTTGCAGAGTACCATATACAAAACTCGTAATGAGTAATCTTCTGCAAAAGGTCACTCTTCTACTCTTCACTACTCCTCTCGCTTCTAACATTTTGCGATCTCCTCTGCACGGCCTGAAGAGAACCTACACACAAAGACCAGATACATCCCCACTAAAACGTGTGGACTAGTCTCTACCTTATCGATTTATCTGCATGGTCTGAAGTATCAGGAACCAGTTGGAAGCATGCCATTGTGCAATGTATGTTGGTGTAGTCACTGTCTCTACTATTTTTTTCTTTAATTAATAAAGTACTGAAAGACCCTTCCTTCACCGAAACGTGTATACATTGACGCTGGGAGCTAATGGAGTTCCTGTATTTGAATTGATCAAACCTGAATTGTACAAACTAACACTGACTGGAGCCTGCTGAGAGTTAGCAGGACTACAAAGACCTGTGACTGTTCAGTTCCTGTGCCTGTTGCTGCAGGTGGTAAATTACATTGGCATTAGACAGACAACCCAACGAATGGAAACTTCTTCGTTTGTCTGGTACAACTTTCAAAAGTTCAATCTCAAAAGAACTCCAAAAGTCTAACAAAATATCAGCAACCAGTATTTATCTGGCTTTTATTTGTTTGGCTTTTAATTTATTTAAGAATTGAATGTTACCC